GATGCACTGCGCTGCCATCTTGGATTATGACGTTGTCGTCAAGTCAAGGTTGGGGAGGATCAATCAACTTCAGGGGGGCGTTTCAGATGAATTCCCGACTCTTAGCTCAGAAATTCTGATTTATTCCGAGTACGACTTGAATGCACAACAAGTCCTCTAATCCATTACAACCTTGTTTTCTCATGCACTGAAATATGACCGTGTGCTGTCATTTCTTGCTACCCCATTGCAAACATGCGCATTTAATGTGCATTCAAATACGCATGCGTGCAATTTTTGATGCCACAAATGGGATTAAATAATGTGTTTTATCGCGATTGCCTGCATGCAGATGTCTTATATGTAGACATGATATGTAGTCAAGGATTTAAGGCTGTCAACATTTGTTGCTCAAACGTCCAGAAGTCCAAAGTTTATTCAGTCTTTTAATGCTGTACTTCTTTATTCCATTTTTAGGTGAGCATGTGCAGCTTGTGTGTCTCTACGAGTGAATACACACACACGTATATCCAGCTGTACTACTCGTTTACCAGCGAGGACCTCTGAGTCAAAATGGGACATTTTTAATCCCAATCCTTTGCTGCTGAATCATGTCAAACACATTTAACCAACATGTTACAGGTGTGCATGCGTGTGTGTGAATACATGTGTGTGTGCCTGTCAATGAACAGCTCGTGTCGGTTGTTGAGGCTCAGCGGCTGCAGAGGTCGAGATACGCTGGTCCCCTGAGAGCCTCTAAAAACACCTGTTTGTTTTTAACGCTGAAAAGGAGGAGGATACAAACTCTGAGCTACATGCTAACTCCTGCAAACACTCCTGAGGTACAAGGTGTTTAAAGTGCTGATGGAGGAGCAGCAGAGCCTGACAGAGAGAGAGAGAGTGAGTGAGAGAGAGAAGAGAGAGAGAGAGAGAGAGAGAGAGAGAGAGCAGTTTGAAGGCTCCAGAACTAAACTCTCTATGAACCTCAGAAACTATGATGGAGAGTGAACTCAACAATGAGCCATGACCTGAGTGTGTGTGTGTGTGTGTGTGTGTGTGTGTGTGTGTGTGTGTGTGTGTGTGTGTGTGTGTGTCCATCCATCAGTTTTAAACACTAACAGTCAACAGTGTGTGTGTGTGTGTGTGTGTGTGTGTGTGTGTGTGTGTGTGTGTGTGTGTGTGTGTGTGTGTGTGTCACAGCAAGTCAAGTGGTGTGTATGTTCTTAAATTTCCATCTTAGTGAGGACCAATCAGAGCTTCAGACTCTGAGAGGTGGAAGGAAGGAAGGGTCCCCACAGGTCCAAAATTCATCGTTATCGTGAACATCTTTTCCGATAATGGATGTTTGTCTTTTCTCCTGGTTAGGTTTTCATGAGAGAACATGTCTCCTCTTACAGGGAAGTCAGGGGTTCGAACAAACAAAGTGTATCATAACCGAAGCAGAATTCTGATTCACAGTGAAACATGCTGGATACATGTCAGAGTCGAGGAGTCTAAATAAACTAAAGTACCGACACTTCGTAGTTTATTTCCCCCTCATCAGCCCGTGACCATGCACTGATAAAAAGGTGGTTTACTGTCACATAAATAAACCTTGTTAGAGTGCAGGTGTGGTTAAAAATACTCCTCTGTTTAAAACCAGGTGACCCGCAGACGTGTGCGGCATTAGTCTCTTTGACTTTGCAGCAGGAAGTAAGTCCGACCATATTTCACTGCCATTAAAGCAATTGTTGATGTGTTTTCGTTTAACATTCTGTTAATGCAATGAGATACTACAACTCCTATAAGCACCAGCTCTACGCAGGCGTTTCTGAAACCTTGTGTTTGGACTCTAGTGATTGACTCAGAGTGCACAGACCTTTAGTCAAGTCTCATATCTCAAAGAAAGTCAAAAACCGGGACGAAGAAGACGATCATGGTTGTAAAAACCAAGTCCAGTGGTTTTAGGTGTTAAAAATGACAACATAGAAGTTGTAGATTTTTATCCCTGGTGGTCTTGTTCGCTAATAAATAATATATGATGGCATTAAAAAGTAAAAGTGTGAAGTGTGAAGTCTAAAATGTTCAGTTTTAAGAAGTTAAAAGTTGAATCTTGTCATTCTTATAGTCAAACTTTTACATGTTTAACCAGCAGCGGTCTCAGAACATCAGCTGACCGTCCTCCAGACTGTCTCTGTGTAACACACGTATGAAATAAAACGCTTATCGTTGTATAACAAACTTTTGTGTGTGCTTACGTGGATACTTATTTGTCCTTATGTGTCGATTAAACACGGGTATCTGCCGGTGTGAAAGGTGTGTGTTTGCAAGACGTGTGCCGTGTGTATGAGAGTGTGTGTTTAAGTGCAAATATGATGTAGTGTGTTTTAATTCCACAAAGTTATCTGGCTGACTGTCAACAAGCCGAGGAATGTGTGTGTGTGTGAGTGCGTACGTATGTGTGTATTTGTGTGCAGAATGATATCAGACTGTTTTTATAAGGTGGGAGTGAGAGGTTACCTGATGAAAAGATACCACAGACTGCGAAGGGGACGGACTGAGGAGAAGGTTCTTGTAAAAACCTGTAAATTAAAAAAAAAGAGAGTCAAATGTTCATGTTGTCTGTTCTTACCTGATTCAGGATTTTGGCTCTCTTTGGACCGCATCAGTCCAGGACTCTTCTCCTACAGAGCCATGCTGTTGTCAGACTGTGGTTTGGGATCAAATGAAGGTCTTCCCTGAAAAAGTCGTCGATCTGTAGATATTGTTCGTTAATGAAGCCTTCACAGATGTGGAAGATACCCATGACATGGACTCTGATGATCCCAGTTCCATCAGGGAGGCTGGATCCGGAACAAGCCGGGTGGTCCCACTACTCTTTAAACTGAGGATGAAGCATCTATGATTTCAAATTCTCTGTTGAAAGGACAACTGGACTGAAAGGACAACTGGACTTACTTGAGACGTTTCGCCTAAGTAAGTCCAGTTGTCCTTTCCCAAAAGAGTGTCAGATTTTGGTGGTGGTCCATGATTTCCAAAAGGATAATCCTCAACTGGCCCTCAATCCACCTTCAAACAGCTGGGCCCTGAAAAACTCATTGGATCATGTTTACATGTCATTTCCTTAAAGCATGGTGGATTTTAAACGTGGTTTCATCCTGTTGCAGAGATATCCTCTACAGAGTCATGTCTGTTTTGGGTGCAGTGATGTTTAAAAGGTCTATAATTCGTAAATTGTTGAACAGTTTTCTCACGCAGTCTCTTACAGAGTGGTGAACCTCTTCCTAATTTTACTTCCGAGAGTCTCAGACCCTCACGTCATGTAACAAGCCTGTTGCAAATCAACCTCATCAGTTGGGAGATGTTTCTACAGGTGTACGTTTTCAGAAAAGTTTTCGTTTACAGTAACCCGTGTATATGTGCCATCAAGAGCATGCCAAACCTGTAGGTGGCAGTGTAACGAGAAGCTCAAACTCACGTTAGCCAATCAGAATCCCGCATAACAGCAACAACAACAACGTCACTTCCTTCTTCTGGAAAAGATGCAAATGCCAACAAATATAGAGGGACTGCACCAGCGTAAATGCAACTGCTTCTCTGCATGCGTCCATGATCACCATAGATTGTAAACAACGTCGCATTTTACCCAGTTTCCGTCGCAGAATCTGCAGTCAGCTACCCCAGTCTCAGTTTTTCTCCAGTTACATGCAAACACACAAACTGAGTTTTCCAAAATCTCCACTCTGGCTGCAGTTTTTAAAAAGCCTTGTTTTCAGGGGCGAATTTGCCGTTCACGTCTAAGTGAAGGGTGCAAACGACGGTTAATGTCTCAGTTTTTAAAAATAACCATGTACGTATAAACGGGGCTTTTACTTCTGAGAGTCTCAGCCTCTCTGAATGCCCAAATCTTGTTACAAACCTGTTGCAAATTATTCTCATTAGTTGGGAGATGTTTCTTTAAGTGTTTTTTTTTCAGCTTTCTCAGACTTTTGTCCCTTTTCCAAGTATTTTGTAACATGTCGCTGACATCAGATTTTGAATTTTAGCGTGTTTTTATATTTGCACTACTCCCATTTGAGTTCAGACTCACAGGTCTGCACAGATGTCAGATTTCAGTCGTCTGTCTCGTGTTGAAGTGGAGAGTATAGTTTGCGTGCAGAACATGTTTAATACATACAGCTCCTCTCAAGTGTATGCACATTATGCATGGACACAAACAAGCTAAAGAATGTGTGTTAAATCCCAAATTCTCACCTCACCATCTCCATACCTGACTCCCCTGTCACTCAAGGCCAAACCACACCCCCAACACCATAAAAGCCAGTCCTCAGGCCTGCTCTCCCTTTTGCAGCCTGAACAAGAGCAGCACTGATCAAAGGGAATCTGACTGTGAGTGTGAAACGGACAAAGCCTTAACAAATGTTGTTGTATTCTCCTTATTTGTATTATTTCTAATATGGTTTATTCTCAAATATTATTTCTTTAGATTCCTGTCACCCTGAAACGCATATGTATTGATTTAAAACCCCGAAGTGGATGCATCTATGATGTAAGATTAGTTAACCAATTTACAATTCATTTGACTTTATCAGTCCCCCCTTTTTTGTAATATTTTATGTTGATACATCTTGTTTATATTCCTTTTGATTGTACAGAAAAAATCATCCACTGAAGACGAGCAAAATAAACCGTCAAACGGAATCCTGGATCCTGTGTTTTAATGTGCACTCAATATAGGATGTTCAATGAGCAAGCATCAGCAACAGCATAATCTTTTACATGGTCCTTCGAGCCGGAGAGAACATCTATATTGAAAATGGATCCAAATTCAGTTTGGCATGATGGCAGTCAGGCCGGAGGAAGGCCACAAAGAGAGAGAATGCCTCCCAGGTATCTTCGGGACTACCAAACCGAACTTTACGGCCAGCCTCCCAAACATTTTAGTCAATGTGCAGAACCTGCTGCACAAACCTCAGAGACTGTTCTATTGAGACAAGAAGTGGCACAATTAAAGAGCATGATCAAGGATTTACATGAGAGAGTCGAACAATATGAACATGGCTACTCAGAAGGAGATTCTGAAGAGGATTGTCACCCCCGAACAACTCAATCATCGCCAAACCAACCAGTAACTTCCTTCCCAGCCCCACAGTGTGAAAAGTCCATGTCTGAACCCAACCTAACAGAATCAGTGCTTGCATTGCAACCTGGTAAAATGTCTCAGTCTGTTCAGACCCTTTTCCCATATGCTCCCACACTCTCTGCAACACAGGGTGAACCTAAGAGACCTGCTACTGTTCCACAATTGAGAAATGAGTCCCCAATCCAAGTACCATCAGGTTCACTTCCATCAGCCTCCCTAACTAATGTGCCCTTCCAGCAAGCTTATTCCAACCCTGAACCTCAAAGATTCGTCCCCTCAGTGTCACGTCCGGGGCCTTTCATACCCACAACTGCTAGTCTGCCCCCTACTGACCCTCCATTTACCAGGTCAGTAATCAACCCTCCTTTAACATTAACAGCACAGCCTATGCAAATACCACTCAATGTTAATGTTACACAGCCATCTTATGGCCCTCATAGCCAAATACAATCAACCCAGAGGCCTCCACTCCAGCCGTATACCATTCATCCAACGCCCATACCTCCACCTCAAGTCTCAACCTATCCTCAGCCATCTGCTCACCATCCAAGTTCTGCAGCTCCATATCAGTATCAACATTTCCCTCAACCTGTGCAGCAGCTTCATACCCAATATCTTGCACCTCAGCCAGCCCCAATCACTGGTGCCCCACAAGCTCTAGGAGCCCCCCTCAACGCAAGCTACTCCGTACCTATGGCCTCTGCACACCAAATCCGATACACTTCACGTGTTGAAGGTCCATCCTTCCCTTATTTCACCCAAAATGACCCCCAGGAATTCCTAATGTTAAAGATGGCCTTAAAAAACCTTCTTCCTGTAGAAGAACCTGAATTATTTAAGTTCCATATCCTTTTGGATCATCTTCACCTCCCTTCAGCTAGACATATTGCCCTGTCTTGTGCTCACCACCCACAGCCCTTTTCAGCAGCAATGGCAGCACTGGAACGACAGTATGGTCAACCACATCAACTGGCTTTAAAGGAGATCCAGACCATTCTCAACCTCCCCAAAGTGGCCCATGGAGATGCCGAAGGATTCCAAAACTTTGCAGTCAAAGTTAGGTCATTAGTAGGGCTGTTGCAATCACTCAATTCAGCAGAAAGTGCGGCAGAATTAGCATGTGCCTCCCATGTCCAGAGATTATTAAATAAACTTCCCGTAGACCTAGTCTCAAACTTTGCAAGACACGCCCGCTCAGTTTCCCCGACCTCCCATTACAATCTAGTGGATTTTTCAGTATGGCTTGAGGGAGAGGCAGAATGCCAAGCCGTGGTAGCACAAGCCAGCAGTCTTCAAATCAGCACACCTCAAACTTATAGAAAGGAGTCAAGCTACAGACCCAAGCACCCTACCACCATCCTCCATGGATCCGACCGGAGGTTCACTCACCACCCAAGTGCTTCTGGTTACCAACAACAGCCTGAAAGAAGGTACCCATGTGCATTTTGTCAATCTACCTCCCACTACCTAACAAACTGTGAAAGTTTGAAAGAACTAGGACCCGAGAAAGTGTCAAGGTGGCTAAAGGAAGAAAATAGATGTTGGAAATGTGGAAGAACCCATAAAACAGCTAATTGCACTCTAAAAAAACCCTGTCCCAAATGTAATGGCCTTCACCTAGGTGTGCTACACAATGTAAATAAAACCCAGACAGCATCCAGAGTGTTGTATCTGAACCCACGAAGCCTAACATCCAAAGTGCTGCTAAAAGTAGTAAAAGTAAGTCTTCACCATAACAATAGAGTCTTTGAGACACATGCCATCTTAGATGATGGATCTGAGCGTACAATGCTACTACCAGGTGCTGCAGAGTACCTTGGGCTGGATGGTGAACCAGAAAACCTCGAGCTGCGAACAGTAAGGCAGCAAACAGAAACCCTGAATGGGAAAACTGTTAACCTTAAAATCTCTGCTGCATCAAGCCCTGAGAAAAATTCTCAATTGACAGAGCCTTCACCTCCGACATGATAATGCTTGTCGAGCAAAGTTACCCTGTAGATAAACTCAAGCAACGCTATCCCTATTTGCAAGGTCTCCCACTAAGCTCCTTCTCCAAAGTCCAGCCACACATCCTCATCGGATCTGACAATCCTTTCCTGATTACACCTATAGAGAGAGTTCAATATGGACCAAAGGGAGCTCCAGCAGCAGTAAGAACACGCCTGGGATGGGCCCTTCAAGGACCAACCTTCCTTGGTGAGTCATCATCCGCTACCCAGTGCTTTTTAACATCACCGGTTAACCCCTACTCAGAACTTCAACACCATGTAGAGCAACTGTGGCAAGCTGATATCCTTCCCTTCAGAAATGAAAAATTAATCACAAGGTCAAAACAAGATAGAGATGCCATAGACCTCCTGGATAATAAAACTGTGAGAGTTGAAACAGATGGTACCAAACGCTATGCAACCCCTTTACTAAGAAAAAAGGATGCACCTGAGCTAAAAGCCCCAGCAGAATCTGTTATGCCCCTTCTCCGTCGATCTGAACGCAAACTCCAAAACAATCCTGAATTGGCAGACATATGCAATAATGAAATCAGTAAACTAAAACAACCTAGTTATGCGAAAAACTCAAACCTGAACAAGTCTCTCAGACAGAAGAATCATAGTATACCCCTCATCACCTTGTGGAGCATAATGGCAATCATCATGTTGTCTTCAACTGCTCTGAGAGATATTGTTGAAAGCCAAACCGTTCCAGAGGAAGTACTGCACACAGTGCAGGTTGAAACTGAAGGTATAATCAACTCCAAACCAATCGGATATGCTTCATCTGATATAGCAGATCCTGACCCCATCACACCAAACCTTCTCCTAATGGGGCGGCGAGATGCCTCTCTTCCACAGGCTGTCTATGCTGAATCCAACTTACTTGGAAAGAGAAAATGGAGGCCTAGTCAGATCCTAACTGATCGATTCTGGTCCTGTTTCATCAGACATTACCTTCCAAGCTTGCAGGTGCGAAATAAATGGCAGAAAGACACACCAGGCCTGACAGAGGGAACAGTGGTACTCTTAATGGACCCCCAAGTACCAAGAGGACAGTGGCATGTTTGAAAGGTGTCTCGTCTCTTCCCCAGTCATGATGGAAGGATTAGGACTGTGGAGGTGACATCTAACCAACGAAAGTTCATCCGCCCTGTTGCCCGACTAGTTATCCTTTCACCTTTTAAAGCCGACACCCAGAATTGATTTGTGATTTATTGATTCAAATATACTATTTGAAGGGGCGGCTGTTAAATCCCAAATTCTCACCTCACCATCTCCATACCTGACTCCCCTGTCACTCAAGGCCAAACCACACCCCCAACACCATAAAAGCCAGTCCTCAGGCCTGCTCTCCCTTTTGCAGCCTGAACAAGAGCAGCACTGATCAAAGGGAATCTGACTGTGAGTGTGAAACGGACAAAGCCTTAACAAATGTTGTTGTATTCTCCTTATTTGTATTATTTCTAATATGGTTTATTCTCAAATATTATTTCTTTAGATTCCTGTCACCCTGAAACGCATATGTATTGATTTAAAACCCCGAAGTGGATGCATCTATGATGTAAGATTAGTTAACCAATTTACAATTCATTTGACTTTATCAGTCCCCCCTTTTTTGTAATATTTTATGTTGATACATCTTGTTTATATTCCTTTTGATTGTACAGAAAAAATCATCCACTGAAGACGAGCAAAATAAACCGTCAAACGGAATCCTGGATCCTGTGTTTTAATGTGCACTCAATATAGGATGTTCAATGAGCAAGCATCAGCAACAGCATAATCTTTTACAATGTGTGTGGGTTTATTTTACACATCACATATTAAAAACAACACGGCCCACATGGTCCACCCTGACAGAAAAATACTTCCTGTTTAACCACAAACATCCTGCTTTCTGATTGGATAAGAGGTGTCCGTGAAAACCGTATATGCAGTGACCCGGTGTTAAAGATTGTCTGAGCTGCACAAACACCAACACTCTCACAGCTCTGAGATGTTCACCTGTGGTCCACTCTGACTCTGATGACCTTAGCAGTCACATTAATAGAAAGTGTTGCTCACCATCATGTTTTCGCTGACTTGCCAGATTTCCAACCTTATCCCAGAATGCAGTGTGGTGAAAACATGAAGTGAAAGCAGGCAGATGTTTCCATGTTTCTCAGTCAGCAGTTTAACATTAGACAAACACACAGACATGTCAACCATCAGTTTGACTCAAATCAACCAGAGAACTCTGCAGACAGAAACGCTCAGTTCACAACAATCATGGACGTCAGGGACGTCTTCATCATATTTGTACCGTGAGGAGGAGGCAGAGCCAGATGAGCTTTTCACTTCCCTCTCATGTAACGTCTGTTTTCTCTGTGCTGAAGGTTCGATGCTTCATCTGTGGACAGATGTTTCAAGATTAAATCAAGTCAGACCTGATCCAACTTTATGTCAAACTAACAAATTTCACCCCAGGATAAAGTGCTTATTAAGAATTTACAATCATCAGATATTAAAGGGCTATTTCACTGTTTTTTAAAGTAAAGTTGTAGTCATGGTTATGTCCTTTGTTGTTGTTGTTGTTGTACTAAACATGATGGTGCAGTCTGGAGAACCAGCGTGCAAACTAGGCTACTTTTTTCTGCATGTGAAGTCAACACTGACTACTAATTTAGCCGACTTTAATGAACTCTACCGACAAAATTTTCAGCGCTTTAGTCTGTTCATTTCTTTTTAAACTCCTGCATTCAGCGAGGCCGTGGACTCTGGTAGGTGATCATTGCAGACTGCAGGATCGTATACCTTGATTCCCACAGATCCAGAGATGCTGTTGTTACCCTGTCAAGTTTCACTCCAGACAGCCTGTAATTTATTCGATTCAAGGTCACTTTTGTCTCTTTGAAGCCCTCAGACCCTGACAAAGTTTCTCAGTATAGCAGACACAAACTCTGATGAGTGCTTGGGCCAGAGATTTTCCAAATTAGCTAAATAATGGAGCCAACATCAACACAAAACTGTAGCCTAGTTTGCACACTGATTCTCCTGGTAGGCATGTATTGTCTTCATGAATACAGAAATATACTTTTTAATGCATCTGCAGATTAGGGTAAAGGGGTTAGGGTAAGGTGAGTCAAAATGGCCTTTCAAAATCTTCATCTGGAGAAATGTGCTGCAGATCTAGAAACAATGCAGATCCGTAAACCATGAGGTCCTGCAATTAAGATATAGGGGGAAAAAAAGGCAAAGCAAATGTTCTGCAAATACTCAAAGGTTTAAATCTGAAGGCGCACAAAGACGGAAAACACACGCAGAAGAAAGACACTGAGGTGAATGTCTTCAAAAACGATGAATGATGAATGGAAATGAATTAATAACAGCGTTAGCCACACCAACCAGAGTCCCGGGCGAGCTGCCCAGGTATATTCTCAGCTTCCCAAGTATAACATAATATAATTAAGTCCAATATGTCTAAATACTCCCTTTTCTGTCCCTATAAGATGACCATAGGCTGTCAGTAAGGAGGGTTTTCTGTGGCAGTGCTCTCTAATTGTTGGGTTGATGTCTGATTCTGGAGAAAACACTGTGATTAAGTCTTGACTTTGACTCAGAGCAGTCACCTGACCTGCCCTCTCAGGCAAAAGAAAGGATTGTCAGAGCTTAAAACAATACAAAACTCCGACAGCAGTTATAGCAGCGACTGACTCAACATTTTTTTTTCTTGGAAACATGTAAAAATACTGCAGCAGCAGCAGCAGCACGGCAAACTGTGCAGCAGAAACGTCGCAGTCAGCGTGTCTGCAGTGTGTTGTTGGCTGTGTTTACAGTGAATGGCTGCAGCCTATTTAAAGCGGCTCAGGGTATTTATGTCAGATGTATACAGCACGGAGGAGCCGGCGGGGCTCGCTCCGCCGCTGTGGTTCTCTCCAGGTCA